AAGAGAAATAGCTCTGTCTATGCTGAAAGAAACAGAAGGAAGAGTACAAGCTAGTGAACGTGATCTGAAATGACTGAAATGCCCTTACCTCTAACTGTTTGTAGACCTCATCAGGCAGCTCCTGCTCATACACCKTCAGCAGAGTGATGGTTTGTTGCAGGGGCWCAAACATGGCGTCTGTGGTGYTTTGTCTTTCCTTTACAGCCAACAGGTGACCCATGACGCCCACCAGGCCATYGTAGTCACCMTCMTYCACCYSTTKGCCCAGGCCAGCCTTAGTCACACTGAYAAACTTTTCCARGTCTGWMAGGCTGTGGACRAATGACTCTGATCATTAAAGAGGTTCATCAAATTTACAAGAGATTTACTTGTCATGAGCAGTACAACTCAAATCAGTTGTGACCCCACATGATGTCGTCAGGGGTCATCTCAGTTCGGAAATGGAAAAACCTCATTTTGAAATTTGGGGCTTGACAAACACAGGCATTGACGATGACATGAAGAGAAAGTTATCCAATTGAATTACAGAACATGGAGGATCCAGTATTTTGGAGAAGTAAAACCCCCAAGTGTATGAAATATTACTTCACCTGTTGGTTACATGGTCAATTAGGTGCTGTTTGAACATGAAGCTCCACTTTTTGATGACGTTGAGCAAGGCGCTCTTCATGCTGCGGCCATCCACATTCATCCACCCGTGGAACACGCACACTGCCTCCATACCCTGCACCTCTTCGTAGATCTGCTCATACCTAAAGAGTGATGACAAACAGATTTAACTCAGGTACATGAGGGTTAGCCCAAAATTAAATCCTATTCTGATCATTTAAAGTTGAGATGAACATAAGAATGACCAGAAATTCAAATGCAAACATAAATAAGTGCTCACACTCTGCTTTAAAAATACCCACTTGTTTATCTCCTCCCTGAAGTCATCCAGTGCCGGTGGGGTCTCTGGGACTCCATCATCAGCATTAACCTCCATCTCTTGGCTGGTGAGAATGTGGCCGTATAGGAGGAACTGACGCATAAACTCCTTTCTATCATCCACGTACAGGAAGCTGTAGCGCTCCAGAGASTTCYGAAAMTCGCAGCAAGTTACCATGACGCTCTGCACACGTTTCATGAGGACTTGGCGCATGTCAGCCAGGTCAGCCATGTCCTCCATGTCAGCCTGAAGAAAACAGGTCACCAAACACAGCATTTAGTCAGCAGTTTTGAGCATGCCAATAGAAGGGATTTGCATTTAAGATATTATAACTTAAGGAAAATGAAAGTGTTCCGAGATATTGGAGCTGAATCACAAACAGTACCTGGTAGTGGGGGGAGGGGCTGTGCTGGGCAAGCCGTGGCACCAGTGAGGAAATTCTGAACACATCATTGATGAGGCTTTCCACCAACTCAAAGAGACCGTCCCCAGCTCCAGACTCCAGAGAGGGAGAGAACGCCATGTCAGGAACCTTCAGGCTCAGCTGAGCCTCAAAAAGAGGGCGCACACCAGTTCTCTGGTCTGGACCCATAGGAAAAAAAGTTGTTACACTGAAAACTATTCTTAAGTAAGTAAAGCATCCTGGCAACCTGCTTTGTCACACGGTATTTCCCATCGCCCTCTACTCATGAGTCACCTGTTACTACTTTTTCAGTCGGTTCAAGACAACATTTGTTTGTAACTTTAACCAAATGTGTTCCCCTAAATGATCTTATCTTTATCTTTGAGTTTTTACATGCTCAACTTTAGTGATAATCACCTATTCAGTTAGGCTTTATAACATATACGTCACATAGATTTTCATCAATTTCAGGGATTTTGCCCATTGATTTATACCAAATGTCTTTTAAGTGAGTCATGTGTGTAAAATAATAAAAAATAAAGTAGTTGTCCATAATGTAATATTTTAACAAAAACTAATTATTTGGATGAATTAATACAACCTGTTAGCATAACATAGACATATCATTATTACTTCCACCTGTAGATAAGAAGTGTGAGGGTGGGTGGGGGGAGAGGCAGGGCTGATTTGTACATTCAGTGGACCACAAATAATAAATGAGGCAACGGTGTAAAGCCACATCCAAGCCTTTTTAAGCTTGTAAGGTTTGAGGGGTTAATTATGGAACTGAAGTCATTTTATCAATTCTAAAAACAGATGTAGTCAAAGTAGTGACTAGTGCTGAATAATCTGTGTGTGTAACAACTATATGTTTGATTGTTCTGTTTACTGTTTCCTCTTGAATGTCCTACCTGTGTTATCCAGGAAGAACATGAGAGAGGTTTTGATACTGTTGGAGAATCCGTCTATAATCTTGACGTCGATGTACTCCACATAAGCCTTCCACTCCTCAGAAGACGGCTCAGCTCTGAACAGCTCCAAATTGCTCTAAGACAAGACGAAGAGTGACACAGAGACAACATTACCATTTCTCTCATGTATGTTAACATTTGAAAAAAAAACTAAATCACAGACTTGTATGAAGAGCATAAAACTTAAAGCCTACTTGACATTTCACACAAACACAGAACAAAATTTCAACTACCTTAAGTAGGAGGTGAAACTTTTCTCCTGAGGACTGGATAAGACCGTAAAACCTTTCCACCCTCTCAGCCCTGTCCTCCAGACTGAGCAGTGCATCTTTTTTGCCCTCCTTCCTGTCGAACATATGGGTGGCCCAGGAGCTCATGCAGCTTTGGATCTCCTCTACATTGTCCCTGGTTCTCTGGAGTCGGCTCTCCAGGTCACAGACGGAGTCTCGTGCTTCCTGGATATACTGCCAAATACCTAAAGGAGTAAAGGTGATAGAGTAGTGAGAATGAAAGTGTGTGACTAAAATACAGATCGACACCTATCAATAATTAATATCCGAACAGCAGGGGTGGGGAACCTCTGGAATATGATCTAGCTCATGAGAGAATTCATAAATAGAAAACAGGAATATAAAAAACAGCTAATAAAAGCAC